CAAAAAACGAATGACAAAAATGCTGAAAAAACAACGAAAGATGAAATAAAAGAAAAAGAAAAAAGTGAAAAATAAGAGCGACAAAGTCAAAGTGACATTTGTGCTGAAGAGAGTCAAGGGAAAGAGCAGAAAATAAAAAAATGTCAAGAATTGGTTGAGAAAAGAGGTAAAACGTCAATGTAATGTCAGGAGGGAAGAAAAGTCACTAAAAAGTACCCAAATGTACCCTACCTGACCCTAAGTCTACGTTATAAGCTAAGAAAGTCCTATAGTGATCCTAGTGACTAGTTTGGAGAATCTATGCAGCAAAAATAAGGTCAAGCCTATGGTGTTGAGCACTAAATGTACTTGAAGTCACTTCTGAGCGTGAGTGTTGAATGAATCCTTAAACTTGAAATTCATATCTATTGTGTGATAAAGGATTTCTTTTGAAGTGAGGGGACTAGTTACATTGTTGGAGAGTTGGTACCTTGGTGATTGTGAAAAGTGTATGTTGTGATGTCTATTGGTCGATCTATGTCATATTCTAATCCGCATGAATTAACTTGTTGAGTCTAGATGAAAAGATTTGTACTAAGTGATGGAATTGACTGAGAAAGTTATGTGATTACTTGAATTTGTATGTTTGCTTCTACATAAGTGTCGTGTAGAATTTTAATTTGTCGCTTGCGGACAAACATCAAGTTTAAGTTGAGGGTGTTGATATACCATGAGTTTACAATATTTTTGATGTGTTTCACTTAAAGTTTGTGCGCCTCTTGGGCTATTTTGTTATTAAAAATAATGTGTTGATGTAATATTTTGCAGGAAATTAGTTCGGAAGCTAATTGACTGAAAAATGGATTGAAGTGATAGAAGCAGAAACCAACGAAGCCATCGACGGACCGTAGGTGATGCAGTAGAAATGGAGTTCAGGAATCTGACCTAGTGTGGAACCAAGAGAGTCACCTAGTAACGGACCGTCCTGTATATCCGTCGATGGGATCAACAAGTATCAAGTTCCAGTACCTTAACCATGGAGGAGAACCACGGAACGTAGGTCAATCAACGGTCCATAGCTCAGGCCGTCAGTGAAGTTCGAGTTCGGCCCAATTTACTTTTGTTTTCCTAGTTGGTTTATGACTTTAGTATTATAAATATAAGTTGTTATTTCTGTTTATGAGAGTTAGACACAATTGTAAGGTTTTAGTTTTGTTCCTTTGGGATTAGTTTGCAAACTGTTAGCAATTTAATTTCCGGAAATTGGTTTATACAATTTTCACTTTGCATTTCAATTCAATATTTCGGATTTCATCTATTCTAACTATAAGTTCATGAATTCTTTCGACTTAATTATGAATTGTGAACTCTCAAGCATGAGTTGCTAAATCCACAACTAGGGTTGTGGGAACCATGAACAATTAACAATGTATGAATAATAATTAAGTAATTCTTAAATAGTGTTTATGTATGTATTGTTCATGAATTATTTTCTAACTATAAGTTCAGGTTTCAGGTTTCATCTATTCTAAGTATAAGTTCATGAATTCTTTCGACTTAATTATGAATTGTGAACTCTCAAGCATGAGTTGCTAAATCCACAACTAGGGTTGTGGGAACCATCAGCAAATAACAATGTATGAATAATAATTAAGTATTTCTTAAATACTGTTTATGCATGTATTGTTAATCCTTTCGTTAAGAAGTCTTTTTAACGTTGGCCAACGTTAGAAATCGCCTCGTTCATACTTGCCGTACCAAAGAGGTAATGAATGAGAAAAGGATTAAACAACAGAGATTTAGTGGATGCTATCTAATAGTCTGATTTCAATTGAAGTGAGGGTGAAAACCAAACTAAATTGATATGATGACTAATATGGGGTAAAGGTAAGGGTTAGTACAGCATACACCTGTAGACGGCCCAAGTTGCGTGGTGAAATTCCCTACTTGGAGGACCAATCAGTTAGGGATACTTAACTTACCAACCTTGCATGACAAACACTAGGAAATGATTACTATTATTAGGATTACTACGTTAAGACCTCGTGGGAAACACATATGCCCTAGTTTTCATCTCATATTGATAATTCAAAATTTGAATCTTGTTTACTTGTCACTTAATCAACAATATGTTACTTTAGTTAAAAAATCCCCCCGTTTACTTTTCTGGGAAATAATTTGACTAAACGGAGATAATAGTGAGTTAAGTTTAAGTCTAGACCATATTCCTCGTGGGATCGACCCCAACCTACAAGTTGGGTTCTTTATTTGACAACAACCACTTATACTTCTTTAGGGAGGTGTAATTTAGGCATATTAGTACTCTCTAGATGATGGACTAATTGTTCATTGGTGGAGGCAACTGAAGAACTATAGAAGTATATACGAGCCGTAGGTGCCTAACCATACACGACACTGCCCAAACCAAATTTCCTTTGCTTTCCTTTTCCTACCTTATTTAGGATTTGTTTTCTATAAATATTAGTTGTATTTTCGTTTATGGGTTGTTAGACTTTTTGAGATATGTACTTTTGGCTTTTAGAATTATTTTACAAACACTTTTGGCATTTAATTCTTGGAGTGTTGGCTTATGAAATTTTATTTTTGTTCTTCAATTCAAGATTCCGGAATTCATCTATTAGAATTATAAGTACATGATTTATTCTATTAACCCTATTGTGAATTGTGATCACACAGGCATGAGTAACTAAATCCACAACTAGGATTGTGGGAGCCATGAGTAATTAACAACATAAAACTAATAATGAAGTAACTCTAGAATAGTGTTTATGCATGTAATGTTAATCTCTTCATTTTGAATGCTTTTTAACGGTGCACAACGTTAGTTCTCACCACAATCCTACGTTCCCCACCATGGAAGTAATGAATGAGAAAGAGATTAAACAACAGAGATTTAGCGTGATAATCCACCATCTAATGTAGAACCTAAATAAGTGAGGGCTAATCGGAGGTCAAGGGTAAGGGTTAGTAAAGCATACATCCGTAGACCGACCAAGTTGCGTGGTGAAATTTCCAACTTGGACGACCAATCACTTAGGAGATACCTAACTTAGTGACTCTGCATGTTGAACACTAGGAAAAAGTTACTATTATTAGGAATATTGCATTAAGAACTTATGGGGAACACATATGCCCTAGTTTCATCTCGTATTGATATTACAAACTGTGATTCTTGTTACTTGTTACTTGTTACTTATTAATACAAATGTATCAATTGTTATTGTATGTTACAAATCGCCCCCCCCCCCCCTTTTATAGAAGTAATCTGACTAAATGTACAATCAATAGTAAATTAGCCTAAGTATATACCATATTCCTCGTGGGATCGACTCTAACCTCAATTAGGTTCTTTATTTGACAACGACCGTTTATACTTCTTTGGGAGGTGTAATTTAAGCATATCAATGTGTAGTTTTATGAAATAAATCACTCATATAGGTCTTAGGATAGGGGTTAAAATGACAAAGCTTAGGTAACAAACTCATAGGGGAAAGACTAAAATAGCCCAAACTTAAAAGTTGACGGGGTGACCTAGGATCCCTGAACGGTATGTATAAGTCACCACTGGTCATTTAGGGAGCCGTACAGATCACCCAATTTCCTTACTGCCTTAAACGGCCAGGCCACTTCACCTTAACTACCAGTGATGCCCTAAACGGACCGTTTAGGGTTCTGTGAAGGATTCATGGTCCGTTTTGGGTTCGTGGACTTGCCCGTTAACCTCTTATACCTTCTCCAAAGTCTAAGGTGTTACAATAGCGGTAGCACATTAGGTTCTGGAGGGGATCTAAGACAGGTCATGGTGACTATTGTATACAGAGTTCAGAGTTAAAGTCTGACTTATCTGTATGTGCATTTTTGGCCTTTAGGAGTTGGTGCTCATTTTACTCCAGATTGGTCTTCGCAACAGGTTGATCGTGGTGACGATTGCTACGAATGTGGTGAAGTAGGCCCCTTTGTTAGAGATTGTTGTAGGGCCCCGGTGTAGGTGGCTAGGGTTGAGCTTAAGTTTGGTGGAGGTAGACATGGCAACCATCGCATTCAAACTATAGGGGTTGCTATTCTTGTGGAGAGGTTGGTCATTGGTCCAGGAAATACGTACTCACAATTCTAATGCATGACATTTTTGTTACTTCTTCAGGCTATTTTTTAGTACAATAAATTCTTAGAAATAATTTGTTTTTTTTTTTTGGATTGCTTTTGTGAAAATATTACTAAAGTTTTTGGATAAATTATTTGGAATTAAAAAAAATGTTGATTTGGTCAAAATTTCTTGCCCAAAATAAGCTAATTACATAAAATGGTCATTTAGCCACATCTAATTTCAAGTGCAATGCTTTTTCGATATTGTTTTTCCTTTCTATTTTGTCTTCTTCTAACAACTATTGGCTTCTTCCTTCATTCATTCTTCTTTCTTCTTTCTTTTCTTCTTTCGTTCTTCCTCCTTCCATGTTTAAAGCTCAACTTTAAAAATCGACGTGTAGTAAACATGAATCGTTTTGAGTGAATAATATATATCAAAATACTCAAAGCATTGAGAGGAGCTCATGTTTAAAATTTGGGATTATTTAGAGGAGATTTGAATTGATTGAGTCAACAATGTATATATATCTCTGATACATGATTATACATTATTTATACATGATTGTAAACTATGCATAAAATATCAATAGATTGTATATACATATACATACATTAAATATACATATAAGCATTTTGTTGAAAATAATTTTTGTTTTTACGTATTGATAAGAAAGCCTAAATTATTGAACTTAGAGAGAGAATGAGAATTATATTGTATTTGAATTTATAAAAGAAAAGTTGGTTCAAAAATATTTGTCCGTAAACTATTTTCTTCTTTGACAAACAAACAAAAAAATAAGTGAAGATAATGGCAAGACCATTACTATTGCATATGCCAAGTAGGTAGAGTAATAGTTGTCTGGTGGTCATAATAGGCAGCAATATTGATTGTGGAACAGACTTGTCGACATGCGTGCCCAAAAGGTCATTTTTTTTCCAAGTTGTCAATTTTCATCCTTGTTTTAGCAAATACCAAACAGAGGTTTTTATCTTTGATTGCTGCTCCTAACAATTTGACCATCACAAGACACCAGACTCTTCACAGGAGAAACAAAAATCATTTCAATGATAGAATTCAATAAAAAAAAACTTGTGCACCAAGTGGTACCCAATGTGATACAAGATGGTACAGTAAGAGGCAGAAAAATATTTTATTGTTTTTACATACACCTGACCTAGGCCTAACATCTAGTAAGCCAGGAAAAAGGAAAGGGCTCAACAGAGCATCAAATTACTGATAATGCATAATGAACCTTGAGCCAATACTGATGGAAACTTAGTTCTGCTATCATGCAGTGCCTTCCACAATTTCCAAGCAACCCTTACTTCTTCTAATTGAGAATCTGGAATGCTTGTGTTTGCATCCAGTATTTCTACCCACTCACTCCAAGGGGACTTTGAAGGGTTTAAAAATCTAGACAGCTGAGGTAACATTGTAGAGTAATAGAAGTCATCAACTGCCTTGAGAATATCATCTGATTCCAACAATGTCAATATTTCAGGTCTTATTATATTGCCTGGATGGTTTCTCAAAGCAAAATTGTTCCCCATCAAAACCAAAACTTCTGATGGGGCTAGGGGTGACAGAATCCTTGAAAACTTGCATAACGACATTATCAAAATATCATGTGGTAGAAGATTGCGTTTTATCGCAACTACTGTCCGTACCATTTTGCGTATCTCAACAAGAGCAATAATATAGGCTTAGACGCATACAACATATCTTGTCAAGAAAAACACAGATCACAACAAAGCACATGTTGCTGAATAAAGACAAGAAACAACTGCATGTAATGAAACTCAAGAAAGTAAACAACAATTCATTATGCTTGGTCATTAAACTTCCATATTGAAAAATCACTGGCCATCTTTTTGTCTCATGCATGGACTCAAGGGCGAGTATCCCATATAGTTATGTATACAACAAGCACAATAAAGTTCTAACAAATTTTGGTGTATCAAATAAAAAAAGATACCAGTGTATTTTGCAGAATCCATAAGAAGGATTCACATTTATGTCCACCCCAATTGAAATGTGTACATCAAAGCAAATGAGAATCTTGGTAATGCAACTACAATACATTTCTTCATTTGGACAAACAAACCCTTGCTTACCAAGTGGCACCCTTGTTCAATGGACAAGTATCCATGTGTTATTAATATTTTTAGAAAGTTGAAGAGTGTTCCCTTTTAAAACCGTTTTAGAAAGAATGAACATGGAAAAATGATAATCAAAGAGAATTACTTGATGTAACATGAATGACTCTCCACAAATGGAAACTTCAACATAATTCAAGCCGAGCAACTTCTCCAATTTTCCACAATGACAGTGAAAAATCCTTCGGAAATGAGCAGAGATAAGTTTATCTCTTGCATCGGGTTCATGGAGCCATCTTGCTTGAATTGGCATAACATAATTTAGATCCTTTGAATGACTAATTTTCTCATTACAGTTGCCATCTCGATTTTGATTTCCAGCCTCAACAATCATAACAACCCCCTTCTCTTTACCGTTTTGTTCTCTATCACTTTCCTCAGACCCATATATTTCTTTCTCACTAGAGGGCCTCCATTTTTTTAAGAGACCGTCATTTTTTAACAAGTTTCTCGCAGGAGATTGTTTCCTGTACTTGGATCGTATTGTGTAATTGTGGAAAGGATGTTCTCCCTGGAACCCAAATCACAAACAGCAAGTGAAGAGAGAAGAATCATTCTCTTTTATCAACGAAAAATGGCTAGATATCATAAAATGAAATCACTCATCCACTGAATTGGCACGTAACATTTTCTGAAGTTTCGTGAACTATTTTTCCCAGTGAAACCTAAGGTCAGTCCTCTTAGGACAAATATGAAGAATAATTCTTTTTTTATGACAAGAAAACCCGCAGCCGCTACTCTTTGGGTGCACACAAGGTAAAAACCCCGCTCCTATGCAATAGCTCGCAAACCACACATGAGAGCTCTTTAAGATACAAACCGAAGAAAATTGATGTTTTGTAAGGTATGTCATATGAGCACGATACAAAACACTTATAAAATGAGGAATATAAAAGAAAATTTTAAAGAATATGAAACACAACCATTAAAAGAAGATCAATCGAATAGACTTGAAAATACCTCAAAAGAATTTAGTATATCATTAAAATTGGCTATATGGTACTCGATTTCCGAAAAAGTTGATTCATTCTTTATCCCGATGATTTCATCAGGAATGAGATAAGAATACTTGTGTGCATTACACTCTCTTCTGGCATCAAAACTCCTGAAGCTCGTTTAAAATGAATTAACTATAAAGGAACAGAAACAGTAACTGCTATATCATTTTCAAACTGAATAAAGACATATCATACAGCAGACAGACTAGCAAATGATCAAATCGACCAATATCATGCAACAATGTAATGAAGGAACCTCTCCCCCACATACTAATAACTAACTGACACAAAAAGAAAACCATAACTGCTACATCATTTTCAAACTAATTGAAGAAAAATCAAAGACAGCAGATAGACAGACAAATGGCACAAATTGACCAATATCATGGAACAATGTAATGAAGGAAGCTCTGCTCTACCTACTAATAACTTAAACGACTCAAAAAGAATACAAAATGTGAATTATGACTTGAGAGAACGGATGACATGGATCCTGAGGGACATAGATGTATTTTAGAAAAGAATACTAAATCCTAGAAGTTTGGGAGAAAACACAAGGTTTAACCAAAATCAACATTTGGAGTAAACGAGCTTAGAATTGAGATTTGAAAGCTCCTGTAGGTTCAGAAAATGATTTAGGACTTGGTTGGATGGTCTCAAGGGACTCGGGAGTAATTCGGACACTTAGGTAGTGAACTAGTAAGTTATGAAAATAACAGCTGACCATGGTCAAATATATGCCTATATGACACTAGATTGGTAATTTGAGTATTCCAACAGGTTTATAGGGTTTTTTTTGAAGTGATTTGCATATTTGGTTTCCATCCCAATGGACTTGGATGTGTTTGGGGGAGCAAAACAAAGAAGGAGAGACCAATTTTTTTATTGTTGGTGCCATCAATTGTTGTTCTTCACAGTTGTGTGGACTGTGCCTTGGTCGTGTAGGAGGTTAGGCTCATGACTCCTGGTTTTGTGGGCTAGTAGACACAATCGTTAAGGGGAGTGTGGCCCAGGGGTCACCGTGGTCGCTTACGGGGAGCTCACAGTCGCGAAGTGCAAGGAACCAAAGACCCACGATCGAGAGAGGTGGGCCTGACGTTCATAGAAAAGGAATATGGGTAGACTTACGAATCCCTAATTCAAACTTAATATTCAAATTACATTATTGGGAGCTCTAAATCTCGGATTATGGCAATTTTTTAAACAATCAACTCAAATTGATAAGAGGGAAGTATCTAACTTTGATTCTAGTATTTTCCTATGATTCCTTAATACTAATTAGCGCGTTAATCCAACTTGGGGATCAATTAATGATTGGAAAGATCTATAGGCTTATGAGAGATCCAATTCTAGAATATCTTTATGGTTTTGACCTCAGTAGCTCGACGTTAGATTTTAGTTGACCGAATTCTTATCATATCAATGTGGGACTTCATCTTCGACAATCGTATCCTCCCTCCAGCAAATAAGGTGGGGTGGGCAAGGGTATAACTAGATAATCCAAGAGATCAAAATTTTTAATAGATTAGGAGCGCTATAAAAAGCATTACAGAAAAGAAAGTCCATTCGTTGACGTTATGGCACTTGGTTCGAGGTAAGTTTAGACTTGACCTTCTATAGGGGATAGTTTTCCTTAATTAAACAATTAATGTGGTGTATTAAGGGTAAGGGTGAGCCCTATGAGGTGCTGAGAGGTTATGGAAACATCGGCTGTCTTGACATGTGTTAAGTGCTTAATTAATTTAATTAATTCAATAGTTGATACATAAGAGGAAATTCATGTTAAATGACAAATCCATTAATATTGATGCCAGATGGGCTTTATCTTGAGCTAATTGCATATAAGATGACATGATTACTTGAAAACTCACTCTATGGAAATTTTCCTATCATGTTTTTATTTGGTGATTATAATCGTGATTGAGAAATTGATATGAGACAAGCGCGTGGAGACTATCTGTGCTAGAGATGAATTATTGATCATAAAAGGTGCATGTTGAGATCGTTCGTGATGACAATGATAGCACGTTGATATAGTATGCAATCCATGTGGAGTACGACCTATGGACAACCCAGTTATCCCCCATGAATCGTTGGGCTAACCAACCCCAAGTCCATCCAGGTGTACATAGGTGTTGAGGATATTGATTTATTTGGTGTTGTCCATGAGTTGCCACTTTACATGATATGCATTGCATTGATATGCACATGTCCATTTGATTGTGTTGATTTGTGCTAAATCCCACCATATTAAATGATTTATTACATATCGATGAGTTATATCTTTCTATTTGTCTATTAACTATTAAAGATTATCTTATGTCTAAGTGTGGTCGTAAGCATTTCAAACACCAACCCTCACCACTACTTTGTCGAGGTCAATGATATATTCTTCTTGTTACATATTGATTATTTATTTGTTACTGTTATGAATAGTTAGGGAAGGATTGATTCACGGGGAGATATATAAATCATCTCGTTAAAGGGAGGCTGAAACCTTAGAGTTCATTAAAAGAGAGAACTTTGTTCTCTTCAACTCTTCAAAGGGAGGTTGAAACCTTAGAGTTCAATGGAAGAGAGAACACTAATCTCCTACTATTTGCTGAAAAATGACTTACCGATTTATTCATCAAGAGCCCCTTTAAATAGAAGTATTATTACATCAATAGGAAGTCTAATTCTTATGAAAGTAGGAAACCTAAATCCTATTCCAAACTAATAACTATAACTTAACCTAATCCTTATTAAACTATGAAACATAAATCCTATTCTAAAATAATAAATAAAGTAACTAAAAATATAATTAAATACCTAATTTAAAGGCTTCCAACGCATCCACAACATTACCCCCCTCTTACGTTTAAAGAGCTTGTCCTCAAGCTCGAGTTTCACGGCAATCATCCAGAAAATCTGGATTAGTATCAACTTATCCAATTCCAACCCTAGCTTGAAGTTGACATTGATAAATTTTGACTCTATCAGTTTGCTGAAGCATGACTAATTCACCCATCAGGTTGCTATTTTCATGAGGTTCAAGTCGCTGAAATTTTTCCCAACTCACTGAGTCTTTTGCTCATTTAAGTTGATAATACAATAATGGTGCTAGTCCGAATATGTGAAATCCAGCCACACCAATATTTTTTGCTTTCGTTGAATGTTGAATCCTTTCAAAAGATTGTTCACAACGATGAGCCCGAATTAATGGGTTATTGGTGCCGTTATAAGTAGGTGGTGTATTGCCATTTGTATTAGGAATTGTTGATCTGCTAGTTGTTTGCGCACTATTTGACTCAGGTTTGTGGGTTGCTGGTTTTGTGGAGTCAATTCCTAATCTTGACAATTGTTCTTGGATGACTTGGACAACTTGTTCGCTAAGGCATTGTTCCATTTCTGCAATTTTAGAGTCCATTTGGGTTTCTGTAATGGTACGTTCTCCTTGAACTCAAGAACTGATCTCATCACCCATTGTGTTAGGCTTTGATATCAAATTGTTATAAATCTTTAGGGAAGGATCGATTCACATGGTGATATATAAATTAGCTCGTTAAAGGGAGGCTGAAACCTAGAGTTCATTAAAAGAGAGAACTCTGATCTCTTCAACTCTTCAAAGGGAGGCTGAAACCTTAGAGTTCAATGGAAGAGAGGAATCTAATCTCCTGTTTTTTGCCGAAAAATGACTTACCGATTCATTCATCAAAAGCCCCTTTAAATAAGAGTCTTATTACATCAATAGGAAGTTTAATTCTTATGAAAGTAGGAGACCTAAATCTTATTCCAAACTAATAACTATAACTTAACCTAATCCTTATGAAACTATGAAACATAAATCCTATTCTAAAATAATAAATAAAGCAACTAAAAATATAATTAAATACTTAATTTAAGGGCTTCCAACGCATCCACAACATTTACATATCGAAGATTTATTTTTGTTGCTTATGACTAAACAACATTTACTAGTCTACTTCATCCAGCGGCCCCGATAGAAGCCGAGAGTTCTGTAACAAAGTCTCAACCAAGACACAATGAATCAATACGGTGATTCTTCTCATTTATCTTTTCAATTTACTTCTCACAAGCATAATTTGTCTGTTTGGTAATTTCTGGTTGAGGAAAACTTGGGCACCAAACTGGAGAAATAGAAAGCTTGAACGAGACCACAAAATGAACACCTGGAGAACAAAAATCTCGATGGTAATCAATTGGCTACTAAACTCCATGGAATTTGACATAGGTAAACCATATTTGTTATTCCCACTGCTAGGGATGTTTGGGAGGCTGTTAAAGAGACTTAATCTGATGTATACATAGTAAATGCCTCTCCGATTTTTTAATT